AAATAAATAAATAAATAAATAAAATTACTATTATTATTTAAAATTGCCATGGCTCAATGATGTCAATGATGTGGCAGGTGAAGCCCTAATGGCCCTTCCCTTTGCCACCCTCTTATTATTATATTATTATATTATATTAAACTTTATTTGTACCCCGCTAGCATCTCCCAAGAAGGACTCGGCTTACAAAGGCCAAGGCCTCAACACAACAACAACAGACAATTGTGGACACAGGAATATTTGCACTTGCCTTTAGATTCTGATCTCTAATCCTTTGCTCCCATCATGTGGACATTGTGGAAAACATCAACACTATATTATATTTCTCAGCAAAGAAGGGAAGCCAGAAAAAAATAAAGGGAATGGGGGGAAATGACAGGAAAAAGGCAGAAAGAACTTTAAAAGGCACCAAAGCAGGCCCCAGCCACACTGAACAGGCCATAAACAACCTCTAAAAGGCACCAAAGGGGCAAAACGGCCCTTGACAATGCTGTACAAGCCCTGAACAACCTTTAAAAGGCACCAAAACCGATAAAACAGTCCCTGAACAACTCTAAACAGGTGCTCAACAACTGTTAGAAGGCACTAAATGGGCAAAACAGGTCCTGAATTTCACTAACTTTGCATAATTTAGGTATGAATGGCACCTAAACTGCAACAACAGAGGATTAATGAGGTCTGTCCCTGATTACATAAATGCATAAAGAACCAACATGATTGTTATTCCCACTGCCATCGACAATGGTCATTCACATCAACAACAAGAGCAAATGCATACGCTATCTTATAATACACATAGCTGTTTTGAAAGTTTGCAGTATCACCCCCCCCCCCCACACACACACAATGCAACAACAGTAACCACAATGCAGAAAAGGAATAAAGGACCTGTCCAAGCATGAGTTGGAACAGGTAGGTGCCTACCTTGGACGTCTTCTTCACCCGGCTGAGAGAGAGCGGTCCTGGCGGTGGGTCACACAGGAAGGTTGCATGACTCTTGTGCCCAGAGAGGATGCAGGAAGGCCGCAACCCTCCAGGCAAGAGGGGGTCCCCTGCATTTAGGGACACGCTCCCTCCGCCTTCCTCCCAACAATCAGGAAGCGGATGCTAGATTGAAGGGAACCCATAAAGAGGTCCAGGAGGGCAAGCAGGGACTCAATAAAGCTGCCTAGGAATGCTATCAGGGGCGCCATGAAGGAGCCTGGAAATGCCAGCAGGGACCCCATAAAGAGGCCTGGGAATGCCAGCAGGGACCCCATAACGAGACCTAGAAATGCCAGCAGGGACCAGATAAAGAGGCGTAAAAATGCTAGTAGATACCCCATAAAGGAGTCTGTATTGCAAGCAGGGACCCCAAAAGGAGCCTGGAAATGCCAGCAGGGACCCCATAAAGAGGTCTGCAATTGCAAACAGGAACCCAATGAAGAGGCATAGGATTGCAAGCTGGGACCCCATAAAGAGGCCCAGAAATGCCAGCAGAGCCCTCATAAAGAGGTCTGCCATTTCTAGAAGAGACCCCATAAAGAGACCTGGACATGCTAGCAGGGACCCCAAAAGGGGCCTGGGATTGCAAGCAGGGACCCCATGAAGAGGCCTGGAAATGCCAGCAGGGACCTGGGATTGCAAGCAGGGACCCAATAAAGATGTCTGGAAATGCCAGCAGGGACCTCATAAGGAAATCTATGAATGCCAAGAGGGATCCCATAAAGAGGCATGGAAATGCTACCAGGGACCCCATAAAGAGGCCTGGACATACCAGCAGGGACCCCATAAAGAGGTCTGCAGTTGCAAGCAGTGACCCCATAAAGAGGTCTGCAGTTGCAAGCAGTGACCCCATAAAGAGGCCTGGACATACCAGCAGGGACCCCATAAAGAGGCCTGGACATACCAGCAGGGACCCCATAAAGAGTTCTGAAGATGCCAGCAGCGACCCCATAAAGGGGCCTGGAAATGCCAGCAGGGATCCCTTAAAGAGGCCTGGGATTGTAAGCAGGGACCCCATAAAGAGGTCTGTAGATGCCAGGAGAGACCCCATAAAGAGGCCTGCAAATGCCAGCAGGGACCCCATAAGGAAGCCTAGGAATGCATGCAGGGACCCCTTAAAGGGTGCCTGGGATTGCAAGCAGGGACCCCATAAAGGCTGCACCAATGGGGTTGGAGAAATAAATTTAGGAGAAAGGTGATGTTAAAGCAACTTTTAAGCATCCAAACTGCTACATTGAGGATGCAATGTGTATCTCATGTGATTTTGTTTTATAATGTTTCACAATGTTTCAAAATGTATACCTTACTTTTGCTATGAAATGAGATCCATCAAAAATTTAGATACATCACAAAAGGGACAGAAAGTAACCGTTACCAATGGAGAAAGTAGAAATGCTCCCATAGAACAAAACATTGTAAACTATTTTATATTTAGTCTCTCTCATATTCTCAATCAGTATTAGAGGGGGCGGGGACACAGTTCGAATTTGACTTACTGAAGGCTCCGAGGAAGGAAAAGCCCAGCGCACCAACACTGTAGTATTGATCTCATACACAATAACACAAAACTCAGCTCAAAATCCAAAGCATGACAATTCTTTCCAAACTGTGTATCACAACAACAGTGAACATGTATAATATCCCACATCTAGGACCAGGAACATCTTCTGCACAGACAACCCCAAAATGCCAACCCCAAAATGTACAAGAGGAACAAAAGACCTGGCCAAGCATGAGTTGGAACAGGTGAGTGCCTACCTTTGGTGGCTTCTTCGATTCACCTGGAATGGTTCTGGTGGTGGGTCACGAAGGAAGGTCGCATGGCTTTTCTGGTGAGAGAAGATGCCAAAAACACTGTTTCAAAAATTGAAATAAAAAAAAAACATTGAGACACACAGATCTGGAATGAGGAAGCATACATGAAAAGTTCTTTAGGAAGAATTTCCTGATTGTGAGAGCTGTTCAGCAGTGGAACTCTCTGCCCTGGAGTGTGGTAGAGGCTCCTTCTTTGAAAGCTTTGAAACAGAGGCTGGACGGACATCTGTCGGGGGTGCTTTGAATGTGATTTTCCTGCTTCTTGGCAGAATGGGGTTGGACTGGATGGCCCACGAGGTCTCTTCCAACTCTATGATTCTATGAAAAACATCTTGGGACTGTCCTCAAAATACCTATCCTGTTTCCAGGTGTTTTTCTCCCTTGTTCTTCACCTTTTTTTTCACAATATCTGTTTCTTCACAGGAAGAAACTCCCAAATTGTATCTATCTTTATATATACACACACACACACACACACACACACACACACACACACACACCTATTTCCAGGTGCTTTTCTCCCTTGTTCTTCACCTTTTTTTTCACAATATCTGTTTCTTCACAGGAAGAAACTCCCAAATTGTATCTATCTTTATATATACACACACACACACACACACACACACACACATCTTATTTCCAGGTGTTTTTCTCCCTTGTTCTTCACCTTTTTTTCACAATATCTCTGTTTTCTTCACAGGAAGAATAGTTTTCTAAGATCTACAGAGACACTCGCTGGAACACCTCAGCAAGTGAGAGTCCAAAAGTGGCAGGCTCAAACCCAGAACCTCAACCAATGGCTGATACCAAATGAGAGACCCCCCCCCCCGGGCAACTTGGAAGGCGCTGAACAGACTGCGCTCTGGCACCAAGAGATGCAGAGCCAACCTTAAGAAATGAGGCTACAAAGTGGAATAATCCACGACATGTGAGTATGGAGAAGAGCAAACCACTGACCACCTGCTGCAATGCACCCTGAGCCCTGCCACATGATGCACAAGGGAGGACCTCCTTGCAGCAACACCAGAGGCACTCCAAGGGGACTGATACTGCTCAAAGGACATTTAACCCACTACCAAACTTGCAAAATTTGTGTTTTTTTAAATCTGTTTGTTTGTTTTGTTCTGTTAGAAATGTAACACAGTGGTCTGGTTGCTGATGACACGATAAATAAATAACAGGAAGAAATTCCCAAATTTTATTTATTTATCATGTCTGCAACCAGACCATTGTATTACATTTCTAACAGAACAAAACAAACAAACAGATTTAAAAAAACCCACAAATTTTGCAAACTTGGTAGTTGATTAAATGTCCTTTGACCAGTATCTGGCCACTTGATCCTCTATCGTGCCCAAATTCTATCTATCTATCTATCTATCTACCTACCTACCTACCTACCTACCTACCTATCTATCTATCTATCTATCTATCTATCTATCTATCTATCTTTCTATCTATCTATCTACACTCTGTCACTCCTTTCCACCTGCTACTAAGGAGGCTGTTCAGGTCCTGAACCGGTGCTTGGCCGCTGTCACGGACTGGATGAGGGACAACAGATTGAAACTAAATCCAGACAAGACAGAGGTACTCCTGGTCAGTCGTAAGACCGAACAGGGTACGGGGTTACAGCCTGTGCTGGACGGGGTCACACTCCCACTAAAGGCGCAGGTTCGCAGCCTGGGAGTGATCCTGGACTCGTCGCTGAGCCTGGAACCCCAGGTCTCGGCGGTGGTCAGGGGAACTTTTGCACAACTAAAACTTGTGCACCAGCTGCGCCCGTACCTTGGAAGTCTGACTTGGCCACGGTAGTCCACGCTTTGGTTACATCCCGCTTAGATTACTGCAACGCTCTCTACGTGGGGTTGCCTCTGAAGACTGCCCGGAAGCTGCAGCAAGTCCAACGCTCGGCAGCCAGACTACTAACGGGTGCTGGGTACAGGGAGCACACCACTCCGCTGTTACACCAGCTCCACTGGCTGCCAATTAGCTTCCGAGCACAATTCAAAGTGCTGGTGTTAACCTATAAAGCCCTAAACGACTCCGGCCCTGTTTACCTCTCCGAACGTATTCTCCCCTATGAACCATCAAGATTACTAAGATCGTCTGGAGAGGCCCTGCTCTCGGTCCCACCGGCCTCACAAGCGTGTCTGGTGGGGACGAGGGACAGGGCCTTCACGGTGGTGGCCCCGCGACTATGGAACTCTCTCCCTCTGGAGGTCAGAACCGCCTCGTCTATCCTGACATTCAGGAAACGGGTGAAGACGTGGTTGTGGAGACAGGCTTTCGATGAATGAGACAGCACCCTAGGATTGTGGATGGAAGATGAGGTATACTTGTTTTTAATATGATGACTGACCACTGTAGTTTTAAATATAGTTGTTATTTTAAATGTGTTATTGTAATTATGAACTATGACATTTTACTGATTGTATGTTTTTATGGTTGTAAACCGGGTTGAGTCCCTCTAAGACAGTGGTTCTCCACCTTCCTAATCCCGTGACCCCTTAATACAGGCCCTCATGTTGTGGTGACCCCCAACCATATTGTTTTCGTTGCTACTTCATAACAGTCATTTTACTACTGTTATAAATCATAATGTAAATATCAGATATGCAAGATGTATTTTCATTCACTGGACCAAACTGGGCACAAATACCCAATGCACCTACATGTAAATGCTAGTGGGGTTGGGGGAGGATTGATTATGTAATTTGGGAGTTGTAGTTGCTGGGATTTATAGTTCACCTATAATCAAAGAGCATTCTGAACTCCCACCAACAATGGATTTGAACCAATCTTGGCACACAGAACTCCCATGACCAACAGAAAACACTGGAAGGGTTTGGTGGGTATTGACCTTGAGTTTGGGAGTTGTAGTTCACCTATATCCAGAGAGCACTGTGGACTCACGCAATGATGGATCTGGACCAAACTTGGCACAAATACTCAATATGCGCAAATGTGAACACTGGTGGAGCCTGGGGAAAATAGACCTTGACTTTTGGGAGTTGTATTTGCTGGGATTTATAGTTCATTACAATCAAAGAACATTCTGAACTCCACCAACGATAGAATTGGCTCAAACTTCCCACATGGAATCCCCATGACCATCAGAAAATACTGTGTTTTCTGATGGTCTTTGGTGACCCCTCTGACACCCCTTCGCGACCCCCTCAGGGGTCCTGACCCCCAGGTTGAGAAACACTGCTCTAAGAGGTGAAAAGCTCGGTATAGAAAACTTTGAAATAAATAAATAAAATAACCTTGGAGTGACTCTGATGTTGCCGCAAGAAGGTCCTCCA